TGACTCCCGGCATCTAAGAGTGTTCTTACATTCCAGCATCCAATGTAAGAAGTTTTGCATAGTTTTAGGTGTCCAGTGCGCATACTTGTCGCCCGGGCCACTGGAGGAGCACAGGGTGCGTCGCTTCCCGGGAACGCCGTAGCATGATTAGCAAAACAAGTTGAGTGAATATCCATGAGTTTCTTGGGAATTCGGTACAGGAAACGTCCCCAGCGTCACCCTGCTTTGGGTCGAGTTGGCATCTCTAGCCTTTGCACATCCAAGGCAGCAGGAAGGTAGTGCATGGTTGCCGGTGGCCCTCTGGGGGCTCATACGCCATTGTCAGTTGTTAGCTGAACAGGGATCCATGCATCCCTGATGAGTACGGAGTCATTGTCTCGGCCGCTGAGTCGACTTCGTCAGCATTGTTATGACTGGGTGTAAGCAGCTAGGATATGGAAATGAATAGTTGATACGCTTGTGTCCCAGTGTTAAACAGTGACCTCAGTACGTTCTTTGTCGAAGAAGCGAACCCGTCAGAGCGTAGAGGTCAGGTGAGCCGAAAGCTCCTTTCAGGAACGAACACTGCGATCGTTGGTCGACGGTGGATGTGACGATGATAATCGTTTAACTCTAGAGCAGCTGGATTATCACTCCTTAGACTGGTCAAAGCTAACATTGCTTTCGAATTGGCGTGTAAAAATGCCCGATGAAATCAGACATGATTTTGATTCCATAACACTGTACGATAATACATATATTGGAAAGATAGTGAGACTTGAGCATATTCAAACAGGCAATCTGCTGATTTGGTAAAACCTCGAATGGTAAACAGTATATGAGAATGTTATTACAGAACTAAGGGCCTAGTTGCAGTGATAGCCTGTAACGGCATAAACAAATATTTTATATTATCATGAGTCCCATGGAAATGTGACCGACCACAAGTCCACTGCTCTTAGCTCTGTCGTTAGAGCACCGAGTTTGAGATTCCGGTGTAACTTTGATTTATTCCCACTCATTTCGTTTTCATCAAGCAACTATACATCCAATGTATCCGGTCATCGCCAATCATTCTTGACCAAGCGACTGAAATGTTCTCAAACTGATACCTTTGTTCGAATCGCTAAATCGTTTCGATTGCTAGGCAGACGACTTTGGCCAGCCTGGGTACTGCGTGTATTGTTTGTTCTAAGTCCCAATTGATCGCACATGGAACCCGTCATGATCCGCGGCTGAACGACTGAAATGACTGTTTTATTTATTTCACCGTTACTTTCAACTTCACTACAACCGCACTTTGGTATCGAATTTACTCTATTGCTCTCTCATGGATTCGCCTTGGTCAAGTACATTTTTAGTTAGACAATCTGGAAGGCTGCTGATGCCTGATGAACCGCTGGGGTTCGTTAAATGCATCCTCTCGCAGTAGCATCTCAGTTGTCCTTTACTACCGAGTGAAAAATTTACAAAGGTTTAAGCCTCTACAGTAATTAGTGCAGCATTCACACAGAGACAATAGGCTAAACTGGAAAACTGATCACCCTTGAGTTACTAAACGGATAACTTGTCTTGCAACCTGTTTACCTAAGTGACCAGAGCTTACTAAAATTAAAAGTCAAGATAACCACGCAAGACCGATGAGAGCACTACCACATGAAATCGATAAAGAAAGCTACAGTACCGATGCGATATTTAGCCAATGGGGTTTTTACCGGCAGAGATACGTTTATGCCCCCATGCTCCCTGATTATGTTCTGCCAATATAAATAGGTTACTCGTATCATGAGAACCAACTCAACTGGGGCGGATAGTGGTACTAAACATGACATCTGTGATAACATTATTAGTACACGCGATTCCAGTGGAGACGCTAAAAGAAAATAATGAAGTACACCGTAGACATAGATGAAACGATAACAAAGGTGATATGAAAAAGGGTCATATTTGCAAAAGAATGTCTGGTCGTATCAGGACTTCAATGTGAAAAAATAATTTTACACAAACAGTACGTTAATTTGCAGACTGCTTCCCCAATGTAGCTTCCTTCCTTGAGGCATTTTGAAGTTCTACAGTGTCGCATTCATCAGCGGGTAGCTGCACGTACCGCACAATCGATCCCCGTATGAAGCAATTTTTTACGGAAAGCTGAAAAAGGTGAGTCTCAAAACTTCTATTACCAGATGCGGATGCTTTTCGGGATCTGTTACGCTGATATCTGTCAGTCGAAAATTATGGTACTGATCCACAGAATGAAGGGTACCACATATGCTACATTTGTAAATAATCAAAGATTCTCACTCACCATATATCATTTTTGAGTTCTATGAGGACGTCCTTCCCCACGAGCGTTTTGAAGAACGAAAAGAACAACTAAATTCGCCTTCGTGTAAGAAACAAGAAGCAACCCACCATTTGAGTTGTCGATCAAGTCCAGTCTGTGAT